TGTATATCGTATACGATACGTGTTTATTTAGTTCAGTTGATATCAAAAAAATAATTGGTATATGTAAAGTACTTATTGAATATAGCGGTTTTCTTTTAAAATTTCGAGGACAGTTTGTGTTTTTTTCTAACGTGAAAATTTTTACGACTAGTGTTATCACATAGTAAACTAATTAGAGTGTATCCTCAAGTTCACTAAATATTTTTTCCAAAGTGATTCAATACTTTCACTGTTATGTAGAATCAACCAAAGCCATTTGAAGTTGTATAAACTCTTTAAAATTTAAATTCAACTCAATGCCACTGCGTAGAAAGCTTGATGTGCTCTTGACTGCACACATTTATTAAGTTTATTTCATCAAGTATATGTTTTTTTTACTTATGTAGGTGTCACGTAAATATTAGCTTCGTTAGCGTTTATGACGTCGTCTGCACGTTATTAATTATAAGTTTACTCTGTCACTCCAAGGTTGTCTGAAAAAGATTTCTATCTAGTATCAAGGTCACATTTCATATTCTTATTTTTGTCTTTAGTTTGAGTATGTATTTTATGCTCGCAATCAATAAAGGACACATTTTGGTATTGTATGAGAATAAAAAAAATGTGACTAAATGTTTGTGATATTTTAATAAGAATTACAAATTTTTTTTTATAATATCAAGTGATGGCACGAACAAGTCGTGCGCCTGATGGTAAGCTATACGTCTGTTCATAACAGTTGCAGTGCCTCTCAGAGCTATAAATCGCAAAGATCTGAGGGGCACTGCGCCCGTCACCCTGCGACATAACTTGACAAGCCTCATGTGCCTGTAATTTCACCAGCACCCTTACCCTTCAAAACCGGAACACAGTAATGCTGAAATTACTGCTAGGCGACAGAAATAGGTAAGGTGGCAGTACTTCCCTGGATGAACCCTTTCGCAAGGAGCTCTACTGTGCTACTGAATTACTTTGATATTCAGCAATATTACCCAGTGAAAGTTAACTCGTGCAAATTATTTACGCTTATAGTTGAACTGCGTGAAAAAAAAATTCAGTATAAGCGCAGCCATTTTGCGCGATTTAACCTTTTACGATTACGAAACTGCTATTAATTATTTAGTGGTATTTTTACTGTTTACTGTTACTTATACTGTTGCTTTTTAAATGCAAACGTTGGTTTGTTTGAAAAAACAAATATATGCGATTTGATCTACTATGCTTGGTAGTGGCACATTATATGTTGATTCCGAACACTTTTATGCGCGCGTATATTATAAATTCAAATCCTTCATAACAATTTTTTTCGTATTATCATTGACTTACATATAATTGTAAGTCAATGCGTATTATGTTTACATTTTACGTTGTAACACTCATATCAATCTATTCAGGTTTAAGAGTCTAAAGTAAAACTATGTTAATGTCTTTGTAACTATAAAATAAATTAATTTAAAATAAATCTCGATGATCTCTGTGGTCGAGTAGCTTGCACATCAGTTTTCATGGTCACGGAATCTCTGAGGTCCCGGGTTCGATCCCCGGCCGGGTCAATATAGAAACGAACTTTTCTATATTATCTCGGCTCTAGGTGTTTATGGTACCGACATTGCTTCTGATTTCCATAACACAAGTGCTTTAGTTACTTACTTTGGCATGCAACGTATGTGAGGTTGTCTAATATTAATTTTATTTATTTTAGATCCGAAAAAGTAGTTTCATTTCCTACATATTTTCTTGGTTCATTCATACTATTCTATGTTGATAGAAATCATAGTTAAATCCAATTGTATCGCAGAAGCCTTCAGGGACGATTGTTCTTAATGCCATGATGTTAAATATCCGCACACTTCGGAGTCGATATCTTACGTCAATGCGGCCAGCACCTTTTCTTTCAACATCATTCTATGTATAAAATTAGTGGACTGAATCGGAGACGTAAGGGCTGACGGCTGCCTTATATGCAGCGTTCTACCGCAGTGGCCCAATTTTATCCATTTAATCTAGCCTTGTAGTAATTTCCTTAGATTCCTTTCAATTGTATGTAATAAACAGTTTATTGGTATAATGGCAGGGATCTTTTCCAGCTGATCAAAGTAGACTTTATAGGTTATGAAAGACAATGTGGTACCGATTATAAGTTATGAAATGTCAAGGTCAAGGTTTAAATTCATTTGAGGCTGTAACCAAAAACAACTTCGCAATGAATGAAGCATTTATCTGAACACGCCAAAGCAAATGATGTCGGCCGATGTTCACTTGTTTTTTCACGAGCCTCCCTGCCCTCGACACCGGTTTTATTGCAACCTTTTTTTTTGCTCTATTTTGCTTCTTCTTGCTGTCTTTCTACTCCGTTTTGCTCCATTTTAATAAATCCTACTCGGAGTTGGCGCGATGAGAATTTCATCGAGCGACATGACCATTGTCATGTAAATCTGATTTGGAAAGAAATGCAAACTTTCCTAGAACGAATGAATATTTCAAATTATCCGGCTGGAGTTTCGTTGTGGAAAATATTGTCCAATTTGTTATATATCTGGATTTTTCTAAAGACTTGTTTATTGTTAAGGGGGAACAACGAGTTTTAGCGGAACCGTTTCGAGGAATACTGCATCAAATTTATCGTCTGTTAACAATGGCATTATTTGAAAACAATGATTGGATGCCTACCAATTGCTATTTATATTATATTACTAAAAAATACATTATATAAAGGATTTGTATTTTTAAATATTCTTATTAGATACTGTCAAGTTAGTGTTTCGAAGTTCAATAAGTATCGCAAAGAAAGCCAGCACGCAACCAATTTAAATTCAAAGTCCTTGCAATTTTGTCTCTTACAATATAAATTCAAGTCCTAAAAGAATCTCGGTACAAACAATGCAGTTCAATAATATGACAAATGAAAAAGGGAATAAAGTGAAATGTAGTGAACAAAAGTCGACGCTCCATAGTCTTAATTTAAAAAGGGACTCACAATTCTCAGTCTGAAGTTAACAGATGTATAATAGCGAATGTTTAGATAAGAACAAAGAATTATATTCGCATCGGCAATGTAAACAGTGCTGCGGCGACGGGGTGGGCAGATGTGTCGCGTGGCAGGACGTAGGGTTGAGATCTGATAGAAGATTTAATGTCGATGAAATTGAAAATGGCACTTATAGTAGAAGTGCTAAGAAAGAATAACAAATTCTAATTTTAAAATGTATATTTTTTATTACTTGGTTGCACCTCAAGTTTAAGAAAAAAGGAAATTTTTTAACACGGACTAATTATAAAATTCAAGCTAATTGTATTTATATTATATTAACATATGATATTTACATTACTGTTAATTGATACTTACATTATTGTTTCGTGTTTCATTGTATTAAAAAAAATACATTAAATAATACTTCAATCATTCATTTAAAATGAAAAACAAAAGTTGTCGAAGGAACGTAAAGGAAAGGAAGAAAAAGGAAGGAAAGGAACTGTAAACGTTAGGATAAGCGAGAGCAAAGCAAACAATACGGAACCATGATGAATAGCATCAGGTGATAAAGCACAATGAAAGGACTAGAACACTATTAATGCAAGAGCAACTGACCCAGAAAATATAGAAATTCGATTAAAACCAACAGTAACGTCTTTATAAAAATGCCAATAAAGAATTAGGGCAACGAACAAAACCTGAAACATTTAAATAAATTTGCCTTTCAATTTACAATTTGCTGTAGCTCTGTTAGGTCATGTGGCAAATGCGAAAAACGAAATTATAAATCGATAAATAGCTATCGACAGCCGCTCTTCCCAGACGTGTAATAAAATGGCGACTGTAGGCCGGCACGGCGGGTGGCGAGGGGTGTTTTTAAGTCTTGCCTCCATCCAAACACAAGCCAAAAATCTTTATAAATGCAAACGAGAAAGCGCTATGCGGGAACCGTGTGGATGGTAAGAGAAGGATATAGGTGCATTCGAGTTAGCTCTCTGCGGTCGCGGGTAGATACAGCACGTTCTTACCGCTTCAGACGGTGTGGTTAAGGGTACCCTAACTTTGCTACGAATTGGAGTGGAGTTGGAAAAACAAATAACTAAGTATCTCATTTGAATGTATAACTTCAAGTCTTTTAAAACGAAATAGGTTACTACGCTTCCTAGCATTTGAGACATCGATAAAGGAAATAGGTTCTATTCACGAAAGTCGTATATTCAATATGGCGATAATTGAATTGGAATGAGTTATGATGAAGGAACAAAGGAAGTGGGGGCTGTCGACGTTAAAAAGTGATAGAAACAAATAGACTGCGAGAGAAGGATTTTCATTATTGTAACAAAGAGACTATTGTTGAGATTACATAAGTTAAAAGTTATTTAAAAGTTTATTATCGAGACTTTTTGTAAAATAACTCCATTAGTTTGTTGTTACCATTAATACAAATGTCGAACAAAAAAAAATGCTTCGATCCGATGGGAGTTGAACCCATGACCACGCTGTACCGCAGCGTTGCTCTATACCAACTGAGCTACAGGTCAAATTATCGACTTCACTAAATTCTCCTCTGTGTTGTAAGATCTTCGTAGTGGTTTTTCGGCTTTCAGCGCCGTAAGTGACGTTTAGTGAGAGATTTTGGAAATCCTCTTACCGCTGCCGGTAACTTTACAGTTACCTCAAGGCAGGCGATTTTGTTCAGTGGTAGTGCCTCTCAGATCTTCAGGATTTAAAGCTCTGAGCGGCACTGCAACTCTTTGTGGACAGGCATGTCGGTTGCCACCAGGCGCGCGACTGTTCCTCCCGTCACTTGGTATTATAAAAAAAAGATTTATGTCGAGAAAGTCCAGCCAAAAGTAGAATGGTATAACAAGCCTTGATTGAAATACTTTTTGCTTTGCTGGGCCGTAAGTGATTAGACTTTGTAATTAACTCAAAGAATCTAGAATAATTAATATTATAATAGAATTTGCTAATTACTTTTGGGTGATCTGAAATGAAAATAAATAGGACAAATTAAGTGTAAATTAAGGTATCTGAGAAGACTTACCTGCCACCAACTAGTAGGTAGTTTCCGTCTCTTAGTAATAACCTGAAGTAGTCAGTGTGGGTTTCGTTCCCCAAAAACTTGTGGGTGTCGTCAACTCCTGTAACAAAGAGAAAATTTGGTTCAAGAACGAGCATGTGAATGAACATTTCTTGGATAAAATTTTGTACAAATGAAGGGCACTGGGACCCCACAGGCCAAGGGTTTCGACTCCAAAGACTGTAAATAATAGTCGGAGTCGAGGTAATAATTGAATGTCATGGCAGTAAAACAAAATCGTGATATAAAATTTATATAGCAAGAGAGATTATTTTAGACAATAAAAAGCTCGGTGTCATATACATATGTATGCACAATGATATTTTGCACATTTTCAATACAGCTTTGTGTATGTGTTTGGGTTACTATTTAATGAGATTATAGTCGCAATATTCCATCTTAATATCAATTTTTCGATAAAGACATCGTCATATAAGTGAACAACTTTAGTGCTATTTTTACGTCTGATAAAGTGCTTTACACTATCTGATGTTTTACACAATATTTTCTCACGAGAATAACGTCAAAATGATAATAGTAATGTGCTAAACAACCATAACAAGTACCTGGTCTCAAACTAGGGAATTTCCTGTACTATGAGAACCATGTCATACTCATGTACTCCGAACACTCAGATAAAAAACAATTTAGAAAAGTAAATTTACCAAATTTGTCCTACCGGGAATCGATCCTAAGACATCTACATTCAACGCTCATAGTGCAAACCTTTGGGTCACCGAGGTCGTCACATATAGATATAGCTTTTGGAGAGGAGAACAACACGCAGTCAAAAGCTTGAACAAGAAGAACGATCATAAACCTAGACAACCTCTTCACTTGGTTTCGTCGTTTCATTTTCCTTTTAATATTAAAAGGAAAATGAAACTTACAACTTCTGCTTACAACTTCAACAATTTGCAAAATAATATTGTGGTCGTTACCTCCAATTACGTTAAAATAGATATCATTATAGCGACATTGAAAGTCGACACATGATGTACTGTTACATTATATGTGAAAGAATTTGCATCTCCATTAGCAACTCTGTCAGAATTTGTCGAAGACATCGGTGAAACGTTAGACCTCGACTTTGCGTTAATGGCTCTTGTTTAAGGTGATGTTTCGCGATACGTTATTGGGTGGAATTTGCATATACTTTGCAACAATTTTGGGATACACGGGTATACTGTTTGTTGATATATATGTGCAATGTTTGAAGATCTGCTGTTCAATTGGGAGGAACTTTCCATGAGTAGTCGTATGTGTTACCCACTTTATTTTCCCATTATCTTTCCTTTTCCAAACACTTGTAAAGGCAGCAATTAATTAACACCTAATAAAATAATTGTTTGTTTTGTTTACTAGCTTTAACAAATGTAGCAGATTTTCTGACAAGTTGGACGCTTCTTGGAAAAACGCTTAATTGTTTTTGGGGAATTGTTAAAATACAGAAAATTCTTATTTGTGAGAAGTAAAGTGTAAAATTGTGCGATAGATGACTGATCCAAAAGCTGACTAAAAAGGTCTTGACAAAGAGATTTAATGAAGGCCACGCTCGACGGTTCAGATCTCATTTAGGTGAACTTGGCGCTCTTTTCAAATTGAAAGAATGTTATATTTTTGTGATGATTACTGACAAATGTCGACAGAATGTTACCCAAAACAGTATAGAACTATTGACTGGGAAACGATTTTGAAAAACTGTAGAAGGAAATATTTTGTATATCAAAATTTTGTATTTTGTAGCAGAGTCGATACATAATGTTGGTCAACTGAAAATATTATAGTTTATTCCCTAATTTCGAAAGCATATCAAAAAATAGAATAAATATGAATAATAATAATAAACCTTTTGTTAACATGTCGTGGGTCAACTTATTAGTAATACAAAACAACAATAATTTAAAACATAAGTTTATTGTTGTTGGTACATAAGTGATCAAAATACAAAGTATATAAGTCGCTCGAGGAGCTGACTGTCACATCACCTCACCAAAACCTGGATGAAATGACGCGGCATCGGCGCATCGAGCTTTGCAGCAAACATTTTCAAGACACTGTTAGAATTTGTATGCAGTTTCAAGATCAGCCCTTTTTCGCATCACAGCATAAAGCTCATCAACTACTGCTTGAGCAAGGATGCGCTATAGTGCCACGGTAGTCCCAACAGCATTCTAAAACCGTTATTATATCGAACACGCAGGGCGTTGAGTGCTTAATAGAATAGGAAAGAAAAAAACGAAAGATCGTGAATTTTTGATACAAATAAAAAAAACATCAGGAAAAAAAAGTATTAGTTAGATGTAATACAAAGCGAAAATAACAAGAGGAAAATTGAAATAAAAACTAAATGTATTAAGGGAATCGATTGGAAATTATCCAGTCAAGCGGGTAGATAATACATTACACTGTTCAGCTATCTATAAGATGAAAGAGTTCATTTGTGCGTGAAACAATATTCATAAAATGTAGCTATTTGTGAATCATAAAAAGAGAGTGAGAATAAGACGAGAAACGCCTGGATGGCACGTACGATAAAACATCGATAAAATCAAAGATGACTTGACTTTTTACGTTAGCGGACAGAATCGTACTGATTCATAAAATCTGACACATTATTGTGCAGACACAATTTCCTTTACGGTTTTTTGACGAAAAATGAATTTCATTTTTTTTTATATGCGAAACGGCTAGAGTGTTACGGTTGCGAAAGCGTCCGGAGGGGTTATACCGTATGGTACAAAAATGGATAAAATGTAGAGAATTAATGATTTCGTAATGATATGCATGTTTGATTCGATTTCATTATTTTTATTATTTCTGTTGTGGTGGATGACATATTCTCCTGAGAATAAACCTTTTAAAGAATAAAGAAAACAAAAATTAAGCCAAGTTAAAACGATGTTATTGAACATTTTGTCATTCATGGAAAAAATGGTAGTACTGCCATTTTAACTATGTTTGCCGCCAATCCGTAATGTGAGTTTACATTACTGCGTTTCGGTTTTGAAGGGTAAGAGTACTGATGAAATGACAGGCAGATGGGACGTGACAGGCGCAGTGGCAGTGCCCCTCACTTTGTAATTTAATTTAGTATCAGTAGAGCTCCTTCAAAAGAGTTCGTCCAGTGAAGTAGAGCCACCTTATATATTTCTGCTGCCAAGCGGTAATGTGAGCAGGACTGCGTTCCGGTTTGGAAGGGTAAGGGTGCTTTGATCTTTGCGATTTAAGGTTCTGAGTGGCACTGCAACTTTTATGGATAGGTGTGTCGCTAACACCAAGAATTGTTCGCTCTGTCATAAGGTATCACAAAAAAATAAAACTATTTTTCGGATCTAAACGCGTATATTTGTTCTTTCAAACAACCGACCTTTTGAGCCTTTTGAAGGTCCCATAGTCGCGGCTCCGTCAGAAAAAAAACAAGAATACACGATTTAGATCCGACTACAATTTTTCATTTCCTATGCATGACAATTATTACCTATGCAAGAAAAAAAAACCTAAGAACTCGATATGTATTTAGGAATGAAACTATTTTTCCGGATTTAAATCGCGTATAAAGGACCTGTAAAGGGCCCGAAACGTCGGTTTGTTTGAAAAAACAAATATACGCGATTTAAATCCGGAAAAATAGTTTCATTCCTATGTATAACAATCGCGAAAACCTAAGAACTCGATATCGATATGTATTGTTATAATTATTGCGATTGCATTTTATTATACGATATTTTAAAAGTCGTTAAAACCTAAAACATGCTCCACTGAAACATTTTTGGAAACACCGCTTTCGCACGTTTTACAAAACACCAGCGATAAATTCATTATATATTTTTCTTTGATATTGGAATGATTACTGCTCAATATTACTGTAAACTGTTACATTATAACTTAATGACCCATTGAATCTTATAGCTTTTAAAAAGCATCACATATGGACCCATCATTTCAAAGGGTTACAATGACTGTAAATTCAAAAGTCGCTATGGCAACAAAGGGCAGTATGACAAAGGGCTATAATAAATAAAATATTAAGCGACAAAGTCAAGTGGGTTCCCCTAATCGAGTTCCGAGGGGACATTAAAAAAAACTAATTACCGTGACAGTCATTAAAATGTATGGTGCCACTCGTGGCGGAAGATCAGCTATTAAAATGATGGTGTCAGATATAGCCTCGAATAGTAGTAACTAGCAAGTAGTTAAGTAGTGATAAAGCTCCTAGTGAAAGAGTTCGTTCAGGGGATAAACTGCCACCTTACCTATTTCTGCCACCAAGCAGTAATGCTCACAATACTGCAATTCGGTTTTGAAGGATAAGGACGCTGGTGGAATTACTTGAATCTAATTGTCAAGGTGGCGAGCGCACTGGCAGTGCCTAGCTCTGAGTGGCAGTGCAACTGCTATGGACAGGCGTGCCGCTCACCACCAGGCGCACGGCTTGTTTGTCCCGTCACTTGGTATCATAACAATAATAAAAAGAATGAAACAAAAGTAGTATTTAATTCGTCGAATGTTAAAATCGATACCGTCATTAAACGAAAAGGACAACTTTTAAGAAATGGTTATTAAAATTTCAAAAATTTATTATAAAAATTTATAAATGCGAGGGTTGTTCAGCGATGGTGTCATATTCAACATGCGATTGTGTAATTTCATTCTTAGCTAAATTGGCAGAGTGTATTTTTTATAACACGTTTGATTCCTAAAAAAATACACAAATCTCAAAAATGCCTCAAATCATTTCTATTATATATAATTCTCACAAACTTGAATTCCCTAAACGTCCAATATCAATGCAAAGCACTGCCTTATGAAATCAATACATGGTAATTGCAAAAACGATTTGTAATTTTTGAGTGACTATCATAAAATATACATTATAATTGAATTCGCAAAATACTTATATTGGAAATCCCCTTTATTTTTCTATTTGTATTGTAATGAAATTATAAAACACTGTATTACAACTTGCAGTATTTTGGATTGACGCGATAGAGTAGAAGCTAATGCACCGAAACCGCTTCAGGTGCAAATTCTTTATTTTTTGTTCGAAGTAGATATAACCATTTTTCCGACAATGTCGAAGCTCAACGAGGATTACATATATGTCACA